TTGAAAAGAAGCACTTTAATCCTCAAAGAGGGCCAGTTTAGTCAGTCGTTTCTATTTTTAGACCCACCTTCTGTTTGGAGAAAAGGTTGTGTAATTTAGCTGAAACCATTACTGTAGAACAAAAAGAGCTATATCCAGTCTACAAAACAACTAAACTAAGACTGTTGACAAAGTTGCCTTGATGAATGGGACTCTTAATGGCCCAGAAATGTGGCAATTCCATTGTGTGGTTACTTCTTTAACAACTTGCCTTCCTGAGGATTTACCCCCCTTCCTGACCAGGCCTGTTTTTGCTACTTGGCGTTGCACGAATTCAACTGATAATTGCGCGGTCATGGAATGCTGCTTCCAAACAAAATGTACGTCCTTTTTTCACGCACAGAGCTTTCTTTCGGTGGTATTTGATCACCTGTGCGCTTTTTATTTTTCACGCTATAAACAAAAAAAGACCAAATATTTTTTACTTTCAGCTATAAAAAATATATAGTAAACTCAAAGTTAGTTATAAATTTAGGCCAAAATGTATTCTGCTTTATGTTTTTGGTAAAAAAAAAAAAAAAAAAAATCCCAATAAGTGTATATTGAGTGCTTTGTGTGAAAGTTATAGCGTCTACAAACTATGGTATAGATACTGCAATTTACGCCATTTTTTTGCTATACAGCGCTGCGCTAGTTTAACGGCCAATTGCGCGGTCATGCAATACAGTACATAAATAAATTTATGTCCTTTATTCACACAAATAAAGATTTCTTTTGGTGGTATTTGATCACCTGTGCACTTTTTATTTTTGGCGCTATAAACAGAAAACTTTTGAAGAAAAAAATTTTTTTTTGAAAAAAAAAACGATATTTTTTGCATTTCGGTCATAAAAAATATTAAAAAAAAACTAAAAAAAAAATGTTCATGAATTTAGACCAAAATGCACCTTCAGGCTTTCAAAGTGGTCATTGGATTTCAGGCTCCTGTATGTGGCTAGGCTCCCAAAACATCTCTCAAATGTGGTACCCCCATACTCGGGAGAGGTAGCAGAATGTATTTTGGGGAGTAATTCTACATATACCCATGGCATGTGGTAGTAAGTCATTTAAGTGACAATTTTGTGTAAAAAAAAAAATTTTTTTATTGTCATTTTCCAAAAACTTGTGCTAAAAAAAAATAAATTCTTCTATTGATTCAACATGCCTCTCAGCAAATAGTTTGTGGTGTCTACTTTCCAGAAAGGGGTCATTTTGGGGGATGGGGGCATTTTATGCCCAGCATTAGAAGTTTATGCCACACATCATTCACTCTAACCACCTGAAGATTAAGCCTTTTCTGACACTTTTGTTCACATGAAAAAAATCAGTATTTTTTGCTAGTAAATTAATTTAAACCCCCAAACATTATATATTTCTTTAAAGCAGACACCCTAGTGAATAAAATGGTGGGTACTACATTTTTTTATGGCACATAGTACTCACGCAGCGATTTTTCAAAAGCAAAATTTTTTAAAAAAATGCACTTTTTTTACTTTTAATGCACAAAAACACAATATATTGGCCAATTATTTGGTAAAATATAAAAGATAATGGTATGCCGAGTAAATAGAAACCAAACATGACATGCTTTAAAAACTGCGCATGCCCCGTACAATGGTGACAAACTGCATACATTTTTAATATCCATAGGCAATGCTTTAAAAGCCTTTGAAAGCTACCATTTTAGATTTACAGAGGAGGTCTAGTGTTAGAATTACTGCCCTTGATCTGACGTTCACGGCGATACCTCACATGCATGCTGCAACCGCTGTTTACATACCGACACAGGGTCAACGCTTGTGCACACAGGTGTGCGCGCATGGGAGGGGCAAGTTTTTTACTTTTATTATTTTTTTTAATTATTTTGATTTTTTTTTATTATTTTTACACTGTACCTTTCTTTTTTTTTTCTTTTTTTTTTTGATCACGGGGAATTCAAATATCCCCTATAACTTCAATGGGCATTGTCATATATTCTTTTTTGAGAAATCTGGGGTCTATCAGACTCTGGATATCTCCTCTTCCCTTACATTATCTAATCAAACCAAAATCGGTGTGATCAGATGCTTTCCCAATTTACAAATGGCGCTGTTTACATCCTGAGAAACTGAAGTGATGAAATGCTCGTAGCTTCCGAATTCTTAGACTATAGAGATGATTGGCACCATTCTGGTTCCCAATAAGCTCTATGGTCAGCTGGCAGAAACACCGGCTGCATTCTCAGGTTCCCCTGATGGCACGGGACTGCCCGAGAAGGCAGTGGAAGGCAGCGGGGGAGGGGGGCATCATCTCCCGCTGCTTGTAAAAGCAATCCTGCAGCCAATTAGCCACTAGGATTGCTTTTACATAAAAGCCGATCGCCGGCTGAAAAAAAATGATACCAGTATGATGCCTGCAGCTGTAGGCATCATCCTGGTATAACCATTCAAAGTCCAGTGATGTACCAGTACCAGGGTGGATAAAAATCAATGATTTTTAAAAAACAAATTTAAAAAATCCAATTTTTTTTAATTTAAATCGGATTTTTTTTTTATTTAAATCGGATTTTGTTGATTTAAATCAAATTTTTTTTAAATAAAATGCTTTTTGAGGAAAATATATTACCATCCAAAGGTTATTCCATCATGAAATAAAGATTAGTTTTTTAATTATGTAGAATAAGGCTGTATATGTTTAATTTTTTTGGTAAATAAATTCCATTAAGCCATTCACAATGTCATGCTCTTCCAGAGGTTTTTGTAAGATTATTGGGCAGTTTCTCTGCCTACAAGATATTATCACAGATGCTTGGTTTACTTTTGCAGTTCTCAAAACTGAATTTGACTCAGCGGAGATCACATGCCTCTTCTTCACAGCAAAAATGTTATAACATGAACAGAGTTAAGAAAAAGACCTTAATCCTAACTTCTACAAACCTATGAATACAGAATCAACCCCTTCAGTGCTAAGTTTCAAGAAGTTCAGTGAATAGAATAGAAACAATATTTTTCTGATTGTTTGGAGTGGAATAGATCTGCACAAGAAGAAAGTGAAACTAAGTGTGAGGAGGAAGGGGCTGACAGTCTAAGTTTCTTAAAATATATAGATTTTGTTTAGCCAAATTAGTTAACAAACATGGATGTTTAAGCAAATAACATATGCTGGAATGTTATTGTTTCAGTTGAATAAATCTATTTAAATTGTTATTATTAAGGGAATGATTTTTCTCCTTCCTAAGTACAACAGAAAAGTTGTCCAAATATGAATGATTAACCTATTAAACTGGGGATAAAAAAAACTAATATGAAAAGTTGTTATTCTAAAAATCTACTTGCATATTAAAGTTATACCAGCAAGAATTAGTCTTTATGTAGAAAACTAGGATTTAAATCAAGCCTTACTGACTAGTGATTTAAATTGTGATTTAAATCGTGATTTAAATCAGTTTGATTTAAATCAAATCCACCCGGACCAGTACATCGCTGATCCTTGTTGGGTGTATATGCCAAAACCATAAAGAGTTTCCATGTAAATGGTCTGGCAAGGTTTGAATTTGCATTGGCGGTGATAAATTGTTCTGCATATAAATTGCTTTGATCCACAATCAACGCATACAGATATTCCATGAAAAACAGCTCAAAAAATCAAGGGGAGGAGTTAAATTTGCTATTTCCACCTGAATTCCAGGTTGGGCAGTGCATGGGGGAAGTACGGGTGCTGCAGAATTTGTGGGCTGTCAATCGGGATTTGCAAACACATCCGGAAGGATATTAGGGGCTCTACAGGCCTGTGTGCGAATTTTTGGTGGTTGCTGGACAATACTTGTGCTCGCCACCGCACCAGCTTGTACTGCACTTATGGGACTCAACACGTCACCAACTCATACTGCAGTGCTGGTATTATTATTATTATAATACAGGATTTATATAGCACCAACAGTTGGCTCAGCGCTACAATATAATGGGAGACAATACAGAACAATACAGTTCAATACAAGAGGGTTAGGAGGACTTGATCCTGGGAGCTTACAATCTAAGAGATATGTGAAAGACAGGATGCACTAGGCCACTAGTACTCGCCAGTTCACCAAAAGGTAGCGTGGCACTAGTACTGACACTCTGCTGCATATGAGAGTCATCAAAATTTACTGACAAGTGCTAATAGAGATCAGGTCTGATTCTGCCAACACTGCGGTTTTGTGTGCAACGTATCAAGTGACAGTGACCTACTGACACTGCACTTGCTGGTGGAGAAGGGGGGGAAAGCGTAGGGGAACTGACTTGGGGTCACTGACATCCCCAGTGACACCAATACAGTGATCTGTGCAAAAAAAAAAAAAAAAACCACTGACACTGTACTAATGGCACTGGGGAGGATGCAGTTAACTTTTTTAGGCAAAGGGTTAACTGTGTGAGGGGAGTGTTTTACTAATGGGCAGGGGGGTGTACTTCCGTGTTGTACGCTGTCCTGGAAAGCTAATCTTTGCTCTCTGTGACAGTGTGTTGGGAACTGAGAGGGAGCAGAGCTGCATTGAAAACAATGCAGCTGTGCTCTGTGTCACTGTTTGCCAGCAATCGCTGGGACCTGGCAGGTGATGACCGGCCGGAACCCGGTGATTGACACCTGTGGCCACGATCGGCAGGGCGGGGAAGGCAGTCACGCACCCCCTACCGGTTTTGCAAAATGACGTTTTAAAACTTGATTCTGCGCAGTGGTGCCGCCCTGCCGCAGTACATAAACTGTGGCTGGTAGGCAAGTGGTTAATAATGTCTAAGGAAGGAAGACAACATTAACCTAAACCAGACAGGAGATTCATAACTTTAAAGAATTGCGAACTGCAAATCCAATTCTATTGTATTCAAAAACAGTTCAGTTCTGAAAATATCAAATAAAATGTTTGTCCTTAACGGTTTTGCTGCCAGAGCCAGTTTCACACTTTTGGAACATGTTTAAAAATCCTTTTATGTCTTAAGACGACATAAATTTTTACTAAACCCACAACAGTTAAATCAGTCTGTATATGCAGTAAAGTATGCTTGTTATACTCACTGTGGAACCTAAGGGGTTAATCCTCTGCATTGTTTAAAAATGCTGTTTGATCCTGACTTCTCTGATCCTCCTTCTTCCAATGTCCCCCTCATGCTCAGTTGTGTATTGCTAGAGAGGTTTTGTTTTTTTCTTGAGAGAGTGCATGTGATCAGCACAGGGCCAATCAGAACTGTCCAGACAGAGGTCATGGGTTTTGCATCCTCCTAGAGAAGAAAGAAAACTACTCCCACAAGCTTTAACCAGTGCTTTGCTGAACACTGATTGAAGGTCAAAAGACTGCTCAAACTGCTGATGAGAAAAGGTATTTAGTAGTTTATATTTACTAAAATAATTGCATTCACATGTTCTATGTACTGTGGGAGACCAGACAGAGTGAATGCAGGCTCTTGGGTTTAGGAACACTTTAAAACTCTTAAAATAGTATACATTTTTTGAAAGCAGAAAACCTGGAGAATAAAACAGTATTAGGTCCAATCTTTTACGTCGCACTATATTACCACAACAGTTTATAAAACATATACAAACAAAATATCAGGAAAAAAAGACACTAAACTAACGAGCTCACAATTGTAATATATTAGCAATTTTTATGGTTAAATACAAATGAAGTTGCACTGAGTAAATAGATATCTAGCATGTCAAGTCTTAAAATTTGCCCATGCTAACTTGGTATGCTACATTTTCCATAGGCAATGATTTAAAAGTCAACAGTATAGAGTCAACAGTGAAAAATTGCCCTAAAATTATTGCTCTCTCACCAACGAGAACTGTAACATATATATTTATATTTTTATCTGAGTGTATGTAAGGGTTGGATGCTAAAAAAACTTTTTTTTCCACTCACCATAAAATCATTTTCTCTGAGTTCACTGAAGGACACAGACTACCATTATTCTTGACCATAGAGTTATAACACTAGGACACTAGGCTGCAAAAAAAATAAAAAATCACAGAGCACCACCTATGGGCAATCCTTACTGAAGGCTAAATCCCCATCTGCTTTAGGCATCTCAGTAAGTTACAACAAAAACATGGAGGAGAGGTAGCTGTGTCCTTCAATGAACTCCGAGAAAGGATTATACGGTGAGTAAAAAAAAAAATCCAGTTTACTCTTACGTTCATTGAAGGCTGGGCATTATTACCCGCCATAGGGATGTCCAAAAGAAGTGACCATTGAGGGGTGGGAGGACTAAGTAAACAACCCAACAGAAAATTTCAAGGAAGAAAAACAGAAAACTCAAACCACTGCTTACAAAAACCAGCAGAAAAAACCAACATTCGAGGGTGCCTAAAATAGCAACCATCAGAAAACACCTTAGTAAAAGGAAAGGACAGAAACCAGGAAACGGCTTGTAACCCGAGACACCCAGGTACCCCAGCAAAGTATGCAGCAACCAGAGGAAAGTCTGACCCCTAACGGAATAGGCCAGAAGAGTGGTTAGATAAGCCAACACGAAAAAAGGCTGAGGAATCTGCCAACCTTACATGGAACACTGCCAGCAACGACGTGCGTAAGTGATAGACACCAAAAGGTGATCATGGGAGAGTCATCAGTGGAGGACCACAATGTGTACAACAGAAGGCCTCGAAAGAGCCTGACAGAACCAGGTCCCAGTGTCATAGCAGCATGGAAGAAAAGCACTGGGAGGAGCTACACGGCAAACCCTGAAAGAAGGCTTAAGTCAAGGAATCCACACTCAAGCAAGAAGGCCAAAATCAAAGTCACCAATTAGGTACGCAGAGGAACGCTGAGACTCAAACAACACAAATGACTCAAGCAACACAAAGGAGGCCTCCAAAGTATCATGGTAGATCCTCAGAGTAAGGAAATCCCACTCCTTCAGTTTCAAGTAGGAATAATTGCCGCCGACAACCCCCTGTCGCCTAGACACTGGCTTTCAGGAGCCAGGCCAACAAGCCGGAATCGGGAAAGCAGGTAAGAAAGACAGCCATAGGGACAGGGAAACCTCACAAAGAAGAAGACACCAGGCAGCATCTGTGACCAAGCACACCACGGCTCTGTCCAAGAGAGAAGGCCATTTCAGAAGCCATGATAATGACCGGATTCCTGCAGCTACTATCCTATACAGTAGCTGCAGAAGAAGCTTAAAAGGCAGGAAGGCATCAATAATTCTGAAAAGGTCCCACAGCGCCAGCAGAGCATTCGTCACATCCGCCCAAGGATTCCTCACTTTTGCGACAAATTACGATACCTTCCTGTTGAGACAAGATGCCAGGAAAACTAGGACGCTACACTGCAGGCATATCCAACAGAAAATAGCCAAGATAGGGACCACTCTCCTTGGTCCAAAATGTGATGTCTGATGAAAACCGACAGCCATGTTCCCATGCCCAGTAAGTAAACCGCTGAGACGAGTAGCTCCGCCAACCAATGACGGTAAAAGACATCCAGCACCACTGCCGAACTCTATGTTCCGCCTTGGTGACTGACGTGGCACTGTATGACCAGATGCTGACTGGTTGTTCTTGAAGATGCTCAAGACAGAAAAAATCTGATCACTCATAGCTCCAGGACATTGACAGGTAACTAAGGTTTCTGCTCATCCAGAGGCTTTGAGCCTTCCCCATATATGCAGTATTACTTCACAAAGTTTTAGCAGAATGTTAAAAAGGTAGTAAACTCTCCCAATTCTTTTGTGCTGTTAATAGGTTTCATTAAATAAAGTTATTAACCACTTGCCCTCTAGAGGATTTACCCCCCTTCTTGACCAAGCCATTTTCTGTGATACTGCGTTACTTTAGCTGACTATTGCGCAGTCATGCATTGCTGCACTCAAATGAAATTTATGTTCTTTTTTTTCCCCACAAATGGAGCTTTCTTTGGGTGGTATTTGATCATCTCTGCGGTTTTTATTTTTTTTTGCGCTATAAACAAAAAAAGACCGACAATTTTGAAAAAAAAAAAAAAAAATATCTTTAACTTTTTGCTATAAAACATATCCAGTAAAAAAATTTAAAAAATGAATTGATTTATGTGAAAGTTACAATGTCTACAACTGGCAGTATATATAATGGAATTGTTTTTATTTTTTAATACTAGTAATGACGGCGATCAGCAACCTATAGCAGGACTGCAGCGGGTATTCTGACACTGCGGGGAACTATCTGCCAATGAAATCCCCAGTGACACTAATACAGTGTTCAGTGCTAATAAAAAGCACTGACACTGTAATAATGACACTGGGTAAGAAGGGGTTAACATCTGAGGAGAACTAAGGGTTCATTGTGTTCTGTGTGTTGTTTCACTATGTGGCCTGTGTGTGTTTTACTATGTAAGCATGCTGCTTTGTATTGCGCTGCTATGCAGAGCAATACAAAGCAGCATGCCGGTGCTCACAGGGGAGATCTACATTGTTTACATACAGACCTCTCCCATCAGTGTCCCTCAGAGATCGCCGGGTGCCAGCGGGGAATTTCCAGCCGGAACCTGGTGATTGACAGCTGTAGCCGCCAATGGCGGTGCGGGTAGGGCAACGCGCGCGTGTGTTCCCTACCTGGAAATGCAAAATCACGTATTTACACGTGATGTTGCACAGCCCTGCCACCCTGTAGCAGTAGTTCTGCTATAGGGTGGTGGGAAAGTGGTTAACAAGCATTACACACTGTAATGCAGTCCAAATTGCATCTTACTTACTGGTTTAGTAAAGTTGAAAAAATATATTTTTTCATGGGTTTCTGCAGCGCCATCTTAGGTAATGTTTCTGTGAGACCGCATTGCTGTGTATTGCCACCCTTTTTCTAACTCTTGCTGAAATCTCGAGCATGCGCAGTAGTGTCCTACCAAGCCTCATTCTCCATCCAACGTTCCTATGGCAACTGTGCTCCACTGTTCACAGCCGACTTGTTTTACTCCACAGGATAGACAGTGCTGCTTTACCATATATACCTTGTGGCGTAAAACAAGTGATCAAACCATGCACAACATACAACAGACATTGATCTGCTGGACATAGTGGTGTTTATTAAACACAAATAAATTAAAATACCAAGAAATATTTTATTAATAAACCTCCATTGCTAGTATAGTGCCTGAATGGATCCATATCTTTGATCAGATCAGCACTATACCAGCATATAGTATAGTATATCATAATAGTATACTGTCCCCAAAAACGCAGCGCTAGCGGGATCAGCCCCGGCACCTGCCAGCACCTGCATTTAGCCCCTACGCTTAACTCCCTCCCCTCCACTCTTCTCCCCCAGCAAGTGCAGTGTCAGTAGATCACTGTCACTTGATACTGTTAAGGTCAGGCGTACTCGACCCTGTTACCAGGTTGCTGAAATGTTAGAACTGCATGAGGATTTTCATATGCAGCAGAGTGCCAGTATTAGTGCCGCTCTACTGTTTGGTTTACTGGCGAGCACCAGCGGCCTACTACATCCTGGTCTTATACATACCAGCACTGCAGTATCACTTGATGAAGTAGCGAGTCCCATAAGTGCTGTACAAGCTGGCGCGGTGGCTAGCACAAGTAGTGTACGGCAGCCAATAAGAATTCGATAACTGGCCCATAGAGCCCATAGTGTCTTTCCGGATGTGCTTGCATGTATGTATGTGCTTGGATGTATGAGATCACCATGATTTTTTTTATTTGTTATCACAGATAATGCTGTGTGTTTTCTGTTATAACCAAGCTGTTATATGTCCATTTTCCTACAAAGGGATGATGCCTAGTAAGGTTTTTCTTCAACATTCATAATACAAACATGCTGCAATGTTACCTGTTTGGAGAAAGCAGAAGTGCTGTTTCCATTCTCAGTCAGCTTTCTCTTAGAAGGGGGTTCAGACATTTCTCTGTAAAAAGAGGAGGCCCCATTTAGACAGAAAAATAGTAGGGACACCATTTTACAAAAATCATGTGTTTTTTTATTCTAACAGACATATCAGGCAAGTAATCTTCTTGAAGTCCTTGGTATCACCTAATCTGTCATCAATGTAACTTCAGAAACAAATATAAAACGTTATGTCCAGTTTCACACTGCATATCCATTTATAACACAGGACATTAATGTCTATTTCAGATTTACAGTATATACCGTATTTTCCGGCGTATAAGACGACTTTTCAACCCCTGAAAATCTTCTGAAAAGTCGGGGGTCGTCTTATACGCCGGTGCGAGCCGGTGTCAGGGCGGCACTTTTTTCGAGGGGCGGCGCGGCGCCGCCCCCCCTCCTCCAACGGACACCAAGTACAGGGGTGGGCAGAGGGGCTGCTGTACCTTACCTGGCTCCGGTCCCAAGACGATCCGGTCCAGGAAGCGCGGCTGCTCCTTCTTTCAGTTCGGCCGCTCGATAGTAACGAGGCCGCTCGGCTCCGCCTCCTCACCGGTGATTGGGCACCAGCACTGGAAAGGCAC